ATTTGCCAAGCAGATTGAAAGTTCAAAACATTTCATGGCTGAAAGAATTCCACCAGTCCAGCCTTTTCCTAGATGGAGATATAGTTAAGATGCTGTCTCAGAATTCTTAAAAAAAAAACAAGGCCTTTGATGGGGGAAATAGGGATTCTACTTGCACAAAAGAAAGGTACTCTAGATTGGGGTACAGCTCCAGGGATTATAGGAAGCCTGTTTATTGAGGAAAAGGGGTCTTTAGAACTTTGTTAATCTTTGGCCAAGAACTCAGTGTAGCCGGAGCGAGGTGTCAGCATCACTAGCTGGCTGAACGAATTGTACTTTCTGAAAGCTATTCACTACTTTATCAGCATTTGGGATAACATTATAGCTACCTTCATTTGCAGTTGCTGATCCAAGGAATGGTACCACCTTTATGACAAGCAGGATATATATAGCAGTGTTTTTTTTAAATCTTGTATTAGAGATGCAGTAATTGAGAAAAATGATTTTCTTCAGCCATATGCATGTGGTTTGGCTAGGGTGTTTTTTTTAATGTGTTTATTCCCACTTGAGGGGAGTAGAACATGCCAAATCCTATCCTACCTGAATTTCTATGTATGTCTACTTTGGATAGAGAAGCATATTTATAGGCTGAATATTTTTATTAACTTGTTTCCATTGTTTATTTATTTATAACCCACCTTTTCATTTTTATAAATAACTCATGGCCAACATACCTAATTCTCTCCCTTCCTCTCTTTTCCCCACGATGAATCTATTTAAGCTGCAAGCTGGAATCTGTAAAGGTCTGCTTATCATAAAATCATAGGATCTGAGGGATGGAAAGAATCATCTAGGCCAGGGGTCTCCAACCTTGGCAACTTTAAGACTTGTGAACTTTCAACTCCCAGAATTCTGGCTGGCTGAGAAATTCTGGGAGCTGAAGTCCACAAGTCTTAAAGTTGCCAAGGTTGGAGACCTCTGATTTAGGCCATCCAAACTCCCAGCTCAGAGCAGCAACGTAAAATAAATTAACCCTAACAGATGATGATATTGCTTTAAAAGATTTGGGGGGTATTGGAATGGTAGATGAATGTTTTCAACAATTATTTGACACTGGCAACAAGTTTGCAGGACCCCAAAGATGTGAAACTATTGTTTTGCCAGGTTCACACAACATAGTCTGGGTTTGGATAATCCTTTAAATAATGAACTGTTGCTTAAACCAACAAGTTCCTGTTCCACAAAGTAGCAAACCAAAATTAATCAAATACAGTATATCATGCTGGGTGAATCTACCTGCTAACTCTGCAGCTATTGGAGGTTAAACCTATTGTGTAAACACAGCATGTTTGTCATGGTAAGGCACTGGCCTGTATACTGTCCATACCCAATACTTCTTGATGTCTGGGCAAAGCTCTTTTCCATAACTCTTCAATAAGAGTAGCACTGACAGTGAAACCAATTCTGGGGTTCTTGCTCTTTTCCATAACTCTTCAATAAGAGCAGCCCTGACAGTGAACCCAATTCTGGGGTTCTTGCCATACACAGCATGAGTTGTGCTCCTTGTGAGGGTTCATCTAGAGCAGGGGTGCCACTCGCAGCCCGTGGGCCGGATGCATCAAGCACTGGCCATACCCATCCTGTTTTAGCAAAGGGGGGGAAAGTCATGTGACATGATGATGCAAGTTTGACACCCTTGATCTAAAGTAAGGCCATTTTATTAAAATAACAAAAATGAAAGATTATGATTTATAGAAGGAATAGGGAATGGCTTTGAAGGGCAGAAGAAGGAGCTGCTACCAAGGCAACAGTCAGTTAAATGGAGCCTGAGTCCAGGCCAAAAATAATAATTTGAGAAAACATCCCTATTCATTTATGTGAAGATAAAGTAAAGGAGAGGGAGGCACATTCAGGCTTGCCAGACTCTGTTACTGTAGTCCTGACCTACATGCCATTGGTTTCTTTCTTTCTTCTGGTTTACTTTGTAGGGCCGACATCAATCTTGCAAGTCTGAATGTGCTTCCTCCTCTCTTATTTTTTTCCTGTATGTTCATACAAATTGTAGAGGAGCTTATTTGAGATGTTGTCTCAAGTTATTTTCGTGGCTTGGGCTCAAGCCCACTTATATGACCATTGTTTCAGTAACAGTTATTTCTCCAGTCCTCAAGGCCATTCCCTCTTCTGATCTCAGCCCAATTCTTTTAATGAATCTGTTCTAAGACTGGATTCAGGTTACAGCTTTAGGTCTGGGTGCCTCATAACTATATCTTAATTCATATATCATGCTTAGCCATGATGTGGTTTGATTTTGGATTAGCTTTATGTGACACCCATTCATAAACTAGTTTAGCAGAAAGATCTTAACCCAATGTATATTCTTGTTATAAAGCAATTCCTACGAACAACCACATGGTGGCTATAAACTCTAACGCTTGTTGTAAGTACATAGTGGCTTTGGGCAATCCATTTTCACTGGATTTTTACTTTCTGTCAAAAGCAAAAAAAATTTCCTGTGTCAGATTCAGCTCCAGTGTGTCTGTCTGTCTGTCTGTCTGTCTGTCTGTCTGTCTGTCTGTCTATCTATCTATCTATCTATCTATCTATCTATCATCTATCTATCTATCTATCATCTATCTATCTATCTATCTATCTATCTATCTATCTATCTATCTATCTATCTATCTCAGGGAAGATTGAAATTACCAATTTTTCCTTGCTAACTTCCTCAAATAAACTGTATCATTCAAAAATGCATGTAAAAGCTATGTTTGATATTAGATTCATTTTGCTTTCTCTGGCCAATTTTTATAACATGTTAATTCCTTAAAATATTTTTACTGTTCATTGCTGTGATCGAGTTTATAAACAGAGATTATGAAATACGCCTTTCTGTTCACAAACTCTATTACAGTAATGTATGTATATATTTCTTCAATAATACTGAAGAAACATTTTATGAATCAGATTTTAAAATGAACTATTAGAAAACTGGCAAATAGTTCAGAAGAAATTCAGCAAAATATAACATCGAGGGAGATAGTTTAGAAACATGAAATATAAACAAATAAACAAACATGGCTTTAGAACTCTCTCTCATTTATCATCATTGCTAAGAGAACATAGATTAGAGGAAGTAATATTTGTTTGCCATTAAGTCCAATTTGTCAACATGCTTTCTATTTTTAAATACCTCATTCTTTCTGTTTTGGAGTTGTCAAAAGGAATTCTGGGAACCAAGTGGTACTGCTAACAAGAAGATACAATCCTAATGGCTTGAGTACCAGTGATGCCTGGTGCTGCAGAATTCAAGCAGGCCAAGTAGGAAAACAGTTGTGGGAACACTGTCATTGTCCCAACCCAGGTCTTCATGGCAGAGTAGAGACTGGTTCCCAGAGCGTCAAAGTTGTAATGTCACTGTTGGATTTTCCGATGGACAAAAATTCCTATCCAACTCACTCAAACTGCACTTCAACTGGAATGAAGGATAATTTCTTATTGCAATGACATCCAGTGTACAATGTGTAGATGGGCATAAGGAGAGATTTAGGTTTTACACGTATTTCTACAATAGTAAGGGGCTAAAGACTTAGCAGAAGAGGCAGCATAGAGTAGCATTCCTCAAATTGTTGCTTTCTGAATTCATAGTACTTCAACTTCCATAATCCGGAACCATAGTAGGAATTACAAGTATTAAAAGTCTAACCTGTCTGAAAGGCATCACTTTGGAGAAGACTGGCATAGTTTTATTCATATTAATTCATATTAATGCATCTCATTTATCATCAAAGGAATTAAAGCTGTTGATAACAAGAGTTGAATTTCCATTATTGTTGCTTTGTTAACTATAGAATAAAGATGAGGAACTGGTGAGCCTTCAGTTTCCAGTCAGCTTAATAAATGACCAGATTTGTAAGACAATATCTGAACAGTCAGAGACTTTCCAACCATAGAACCTCCAAATAGCCCTATTATGTGAAAGCTTGGGTTTATAGGACACTAGATTATTCTCTAGATTATTAATTCCAGAAAAAAAAGTAGCCTTGTATACTTGAAAAAAAAAAAACACCTGATATTGATTTTGATAAAGTAGGGACCATTTTTAGTGCAGGAATGTTATCCTTAGATATGCAAGGAGTGGCATGAGTTTAAAAACAGAATATAATCTACAATAAAATTAAACTGCACATTCGTGTGCCACTGGATTGACAGACATGCATGCACACAAACATATGTAATGGTGTGTGGGTAGGTAGAAAGACAGACAGATGATTTTACAGTCTTCCCTGGTTTTGTAAAACTGAATTATTGTCATTTTCAAATGCTCAGACAGTGTCTAAGAGGAGTTCATGTTGTTGAACCTAGATAGAACTATTACAATCTGAAAGGTTACAAAGGTCAGAGTATTTGTTTACTTTTGGAATTGTTTTCAACTGGCTGACAGTAGGTCTATTGAGTTCATTGCCTTTTGAGAACGTCTTTACAGTTAAAAAAAAGTATTAATGAATCAATTGAAAAGCTTCTGCTTCAGCCATATTTACTGCTTTCATATTCTGAATCTGTTATTCAGTGGGGCATATACACCCACATTTTCAAAAAGATACCCTGTTTAAATTCTTCTGTTCACTTAGGGATTCACATAGGGAAACATGCAATTTGACCAGAGTGCCTAAACATTTGCATGCAATTCTGTGTCAAATAATAATTATCTTAACACAAGTTGTGAGATATCACCAACAGCCAATTATTCAAAGCTGGTCACCAAATAAAATATAGTTTGCAAATTAAATCCTGTTTTTTTTAAAAAAAAATATTCGGATACGTGATTATGTAAGATTTAGACACAAACACACCAGTGTCAGGGATGAGATTGATGAAGTTAAAGATGTAGTGGCTTGAATTTTGGCTGCTAAAGTATTTTAAAACATTTTTTCAATAGTTCTGAAAAAAGTAGGTCAAAAACATACTTAAGCATAATGAAGTCAGCATATCCGAACGCAGAATGAAGCACAGGAAATAGGAGGGTAAGTAAAAGTTAACATTTACTGATACAGGACTGAATATTATGAAGGACGTACATGGATGGACATGGCAGTGGAGCCAGACTGAAGGCACAGGACCCTTTTCCCAGCATGCCGAGGGAAAGGACTGGACACCACCAAACAAATAACACAATGGAGATAACTGCGGCGTATATATTTGTAACAAAGACCATAATAACATACATTTCTATTGGATCACATCAAGTGATTATATAAATCCATATAGAGACTGTATAAAACTTTTATAAAAAAATATTTAAAAACTGTAAAAATGTGCATTTTAAAAGCATGGCCTCTGGACAGCTGGGCTGTAAACATTATACTGAGGGTGTGCTTGTGGGGGGCGCCTGCGCCACAGTGCCACAGACAGGCCCAGCAATGAGGCAGGACTTGTGTCAAGTGTTTGCCATTCTTGGTTTCTGGTTTAGTTCTGGAGAGAGAGACAAAAGGAGAGAAAGAAAGAGGAGAGAGAGAGAGAGAGAGAGCACATGGCAGGTCCTAAATGGGGAGGATACAAGAACTATTGTCTGCCCAGTTTTGCCTGTTGATGGCTTCCACTTAATCCCTACTAACTCTCAACCATTCGCTGTGAGAAGAGTAGCAGCAAGAACCATGGATGCTACCTTCCCAGTGTCCCAAAATGTTCCAGGCTTGAAATGCAGGCCCTGTAATGGGTTGCTTAAAAGATTTTCCACAAGTTGAAGTACTGCAAGGACAACCAGGAAAGCCCGCACAATGGCCACCACAACCACTCAGTAAGTTGACCTTTTAGTGGCTAAGGAAGCTTCCCACGTCAATGTTCCATTGATCCTTCTTCTCTTCCTTTATCTGGAATGTGCAATCCTTAAGGAAACTCATTAGTCCTGACTGCACTAATCTTGACAGTGCACAGTTTGTCATACAGTAATTAGATGAGAGGACTCTCAGAGACCCTGTTTGTGCAACACCTTGCCCACCGTGTGTTCTTTCATTTCTTCTCAAGCTGTTCCAGCAGGGGATTGGCTTCATTCTCTGGTGTTTTCACACTATCTGTCCGAACAATGCAGGTGGGACGGTGGCGATTCAGCATCAAGATCAGCTGCTGCCTTTCCTGCTTTAGCTCTTCTATCTGTGCCTTCAGCTCGGCATTCATGAGTTCCAGGCGCTCAGATTCCTGTTCAAAATCAGAGAAATGTGGAGGTGAAGTTTTCGATTTCTCAATTACACTGGGGGGAAAAAGCCACTGCCTCATCCAACATCCAAAGCAAAACAGACCAAGCACTTCTTTGCATCGGAAGCATGCATGGAGACTTAAACACGGGCGCTTCCAGGAAAGCAGGATTTTCTTCAGATGTTTTTTCCATCTTTATAACGGTAGAAGGAACAAGTGTGTGTGTGTGTGTGTGTGTGTGTGTGTGTCTCATACTCACCCGCTGCAGAAATTCAGTTCTCTCCTTCTTCTTGTTCCGACATCGAGCAGCTGCTACTTTGTTCTTCTCTCTGCGTCTTTTCCTTCTTTCCTCTTCCTCATCTAGCTAAAAGGGAAAAAACGCAAGTGCAATAAAACAACTGAACAAAGACAAGGAATCACATGATGCTAACTGCATCTCATCCCTCCCAGCGCATGATGCTTTCTTCCACAAAACATTTAATCCTTAAGCTGCCGTAGAGACATGGATTGAAATACTCAAATCTATAGTCTGCTTTTCTGTCGGTGGGCTTTTTAACAAGCCTACGGACGGATTTGTGTGTCCCGATGACACTGATGTGGAATAGATGCTTACAGTTAAAGAGGGAGAGTGGTAATGTATGCCTCTAATTATTCACCGGTCAATTATGCCCTTGCATAAGCACAAGGAGATTCAGGACAGCATGTCATTATGCCCATGGGCCATTTATCACCAGTGAGGCCTGGATGACATTTTATATCACTAGTGAATAAAGCTTCAGCAAAGAAGCCATCTAAATTTATTCTCCTGGGAATCTCATTGTAAAGGATCCTGAAAGATTTGGATTATTTGGGTGACCTTCACCCAATATCTGCAGCAATCCTGCTAAAATGTACCTGGAATGCAATGCTGAAATCAACCCTGTTCAGATGGTATGATCCCATCGTGAACTCAGTGCATAGAGTGTAGTGACCAGCAACTTTACTCCCTAAGGCAGGGCTCCCCAAACTTGGCAACTTTAAGACTTAAGACAGAATTCTGGGAGTTGAAGTCCACAAGTCTTAAAGTTGCCAAATTTGGAGACCTCTGCCCTAAGGCATAATATGAAAACTTTGCTTTCGCTGTATCCTATATTTACACTTTATAGGACTAGATTGTTGCCATTTGCCCTTCCTTCAAACTTGCATTACGATATATTCCAACATTTATCACTGAATATTCACTTCCTTCTACAATAACCTTACCCCTCTGATCTACTACAATTGACCTCTCTGCCCAAATCAATCAGACTTGTTTATGTAGAAGCAAGTCATACTATGGTTATTTCTAAATAAATACTTTAGAAGTGTGGAGAAGATCATAGCTTTCTCAGATGTCAACATTATTTTAAAACCACATGTTCTCTTTTTACAGACAAGCACACATGTAAGCTTTTCTGAGGTTAATGAAGTAAATTATTTCTACAAATATAAAAAAGGTATAACTATATAAATATAATCAATTTTTCAGTTCTAGAAAGGAGGATCTATTTTACTTTTTTTCATTATAATCCTTGGTTGTGTGAGAAAAAAAAACATACCCTCTAGGCCGCTTTGTATAAGCTTTATACCAACTAATCAAGGAATCAGTTCTTTAATATAATTAGTACTTATATGTAGGTTTGTTCATTCATTCAATTTATATGACTGCCCACTTGATGTGTAATTCTGAGTAGCCAGCATCCAGTTAAAAGCAACAATTAACAATTAAAACCAATCTAAAAGCCCATCATATCCAAGGCACACTCTCTCGCATGTATAGACATACGTACACATACATCCTGAAAAGAGGTTCCCCTAATGTTTTAGTCTAGTGTCCATGGAAAACCAAGTCTTCAGTGCCTTGTGAAAGCCCAGAAGAATGATGGCCTTATGGATCTAAAGGATGACACTGTTCCACAGAACCACTGTTCCTGTTATTTTGGATAATTATTTTGAAATTATAAACTGGATAACACTAAAGACAAACACTATCTTTATTTTTGAATTTTCTATCTTGCCTAATTTAGAAATCTAAAAAAAAAAATCCTAATAAAAACCAGAAATCCGTGTGAGCTCCTTACCTTTAAAGAATAGGCCACTTATAGCAGTGGTACATTTCTTCAGGCTTGCATGGAAGACTGGAAATAATTGGGCTGCTTTAAAGAACAGGAAAAAAGGTACAGAGCTCACCCAAATCACCTCTCCAAATAATTTTGAAAGCATGCATGCGCACAAGCAGAGAAAGCCTGTCGGTTTACAAACAAAAGGAATGAATCTTTACTTTTTTTGAACACTGGCTGACAGATTCGGCTGGCACTTTGACCCAATTTTACTTTAGAACCTACCTCACTTTTCATTGGCTGAGGCCTCTTGCCCAGTTTCACCTCCAGGAAATGTAGTGGTGAGATCATGGCCCCAATGCTGCGAATGTCAGCATACTTCAGTTCCTCTGCTGTCAAGGTAGTACCAGGTAACCCTGCCAAAGGGCCAAGGCCAGGCAGAGCGCCAGCTGTCAAGGATGGGTCTGGAATCTGCCCTGGCATCATAGCAAGATACACAATTCCACACCCTAGACAAAAGAAGGAGAAGCTAACCATCATTTGCCATAGGAAGCTAAGCAGGGAAAATCCACAAAGAGTGTTTCGAAGAAGCATTATAATTGGCTATTTTCTGTGAAACTTCCCCCGCCTTTCTCTCTCTCTCTCTCTCTCTCTTTGTCTCTCTGTCTCTGTCTCTCTCTCTCTCTCTCTGTCTCCCTCCTCATACACGGCTATGCAAATTGATAAACATAAATTAAGTTTAAAGCAGACTTTCCTGCCATGTAGTTAAAAGTTTTCTGTCTAGGACATTGCACAAAAATCTTTGGATAAAGATACCTTTATGAATATGAACTATTATTAAGAAATCGTAACCAATCTGCTTTCAAGCAGTTAAACAAAGAAAATAAAATGCAAGAGTAAAAGGCTGTTGGAGGGAAAATATTAAGCAAAGCTAGATAACTGAACATTGTACCTTTTTATGTATCTATAAGCATGTGCTAAGTTGAAAGGAGGTTGGTCACAAGGAAAAAAAAGAGGAATTAATAATTGCTATGCTGAGAGGAACCAAACTAACTTTGTGGATTAATGCTTTAACAAACAAGAAGCAATGATTAGCTAATTCAGCAAGGAGCCTGTTCAATGTATTTAGAAACTCAAGGAGGAAGGCAGAATTACAAAAGGAAGTTAACAAATTGCACAGATTATTTAGGACTAGGAATTTAGTCTCTCCAGGTGAAAGCTCAAAAAGCATTGATCAACTTTACTACTGCATACTAAAATGTTCCTTTGGAAAGTACTACTATTTAAAATCCTTTCCCATATCTGGTTCAGGTTGTGCTAGCTGCAGCCAGTAGTTTAAAGTCAGGGGAAAAGAACCTTCATAAAGGACCACCTTGATTTTATCTATTGAAAAAAATCATATTGTTCAGCACATTGGTTTTGAGAAGAGTAAGCGATAAGAGTGTAGAATTATACAGAGATTGATCAGTCTGTTTGAGTAAAAAAAAGGAAAAAGAATTCATCACCCCCTAGAACAGTGGCCCCAACCTTTTTTGTGCCACAGCCTGGTACCGGCATCACAAAATGATCTGTGGCCCGGCACCGGCATCAGAACGCATGACAAGGCGAGCCGAGCGACTGGCCAGCCAGCCATCCCCCGCTTCTCCCCGCCACCTTCAACTCCTCCTTTGTACCTTTGTCGATGGGCTTCGGGACAGCTTCAGGACGGCTGCTCGTCTCGCCTTGCCTTGGGTGCTGAAAGAATCCTCGCGCCTTAGTTTTGTTCGAAGCCGCCCCCCCCTTCGATGAAACTTAAGGAGCGAGGATTCCTTCAGGACCCAAACGCCGCTTTCCAAACGGAAAAGCTCACCGGAAGCACTTTCTCATCAAAACAAAATGGCGGCACCCAGCAAACCGGTGGCCCGGTAGAAAATGTTCCACGGACCGGTACCGGTCCGGGACCTGGTGGTTGGGGACCCCTGCCCTAGAAGACAGGGAAAGTTAAAGAAAGAAAAAAGCAAACCAGAGTCCTATACTATCAGTAGTCCTGGATTGGACAGCATGAGGGAGCTGTCTTCCCCTCTGCTTCTGGCCAAGTTGGGAATGAAGGACCACCAAAGGTGCACCTCTCTCTCCTCTGTGAGAACCTGTGGGGAGGGAAAGGTCTCGCGAATTCTCGAGGGAGGGAAAGCTACAGAGCTTGTTTCTGCCCATCCTGCCAAACTTATAAGCCCTCCTGCCAGAAGTATCACTCAGCTGCTGCTCTTAAAATGCAAGATGTGAAGGAGATGTATGGGGCACTGGCACTGCTTTGTATTTCTGTGTATGTGCAAGGAGCAAGGTAAATATATGCAGGTTTTGTTGTTTTTCACAGATTTAGTAACCCTTAGAATCAATTGATGACAGGTAGTTAGTTATAAATGTTCATTTGACCGAAAGGTAATCAGTCATGTTAAATAAACTAAATAAATAAAATTAAAATAATGGACCACTGCTAGACATAAAGCTTTGCTTTTTCAGAATTCATGTGATTAAAATTGACACTGATGCTATAAGCTTGAATGACAGTTGAGAAAGGGGGGGCTATGTATTGTCACATTAATAATACCCTTGAATATTTATCTAAGGAAAAGAACATTTGGCTTTTGCAAGGTCAAGAACACATTGGCTTCATACATCCTCTAGACCATTATTTAGTAAATAAACTGCAACTAACTTGGATTACAAATCTTAACAGCTGCATTTAGACAGAAAGAATTATGGGTAGTATTAAGTACGATTTCAAATGTACGTTGTACCTAAAATAAATATGCACAATATTCCTTGATAATACACAACTGTCTTATATTATGTCAGAGACAACTTAATATTAGGTATTTTCATTTAGTATGCATTTTTATTCAAGTGCAATACAAGAACTATTTCCCCCACCTTCCACAATTCTAGGGGAGTTGATTAAGATATTAAATGATTCAACCAAGATCATCCAGTGAATTTCCACAGCTGAAAGTAAGGTTGTAGAATGGGACAAAACTCACTAAACAAATGTCTCATTTAACAACATAAATTTTGGGCTCAGTTGTGGTCGTAAGTCAAGGACCACCTGTATGAACGTTTGATGAAGGTACATTTCAATGCAAAAGTGTGTAACTGTATTTTATCATGATCAACTCTCCTTCTCCAACCCCAGTGGTGCTATTTGTCCGGTTCGACCCAGTTCTGGCATACCGGTAGTGCTGAAGATCATCTGAGACCAATCCGGTTCTGCTGTTGGGCCCACCCACTTGTCTGGGCTTCCATACGGACCTTTATTCTCTGCGTTTGAAGCGCAGCTGCTTTGCGCGGCACAGCAGAGTGCCGCGCATCAGCTGTTGAAACTACAGGGAAGAGTGCAGGATTGCAGGAGGTGAGTAGGAAAGCCTCTGTGCATGCACAAAGTGTGCATCTGGTGCGTGCGCAAAGGTGCACGTGCGCGCAAAAGCGCACCCACCAAGTCACAGCCACCAAACCGGTGGTAAACCACTTTGAAACCCACCACTGCCTAAACCCCTTCACCTTCGAGCAGAGACAGACTATATAGGGCTCCTCCAGAGCAGCTCCTAACCTCATTCAGCATTCTCAATCACAAGAGGCCATTGCAACTGTAATTTATAACAACTGGAGGAACTAACGGAAGTCAGAATGCCTTATTTTAAACCAATCAGTTACTACCATTAATCTAAATCTTATCTTTTCCAATTCAATGCCTTCTAGATATGTTAAATGCACCTCCTATCATTGCTGGTCTAAGGTCACATGGCCCTGGGTGTAAATCAAGTTACAGTTCAACACAGATGGAGCATGTCAGGTCACAAGAGGTAGGCGAAAGCTTCAGCTTTTCAAATGCAGTTACTTAAGACTCAGGTTTGCCCTCCCCAGAGATCATCTTCTATATCATTTTATATGTTCCTTGCTTTTTATTGAGGCTCCCAAAGTGAAGCGATTAAACCGGCCAAACCAGAAATAATTTGCCTAGGTAGAAAATGACTCCTATTGCCCAAATGACATAAAGGAGCTGGCATACATTTGAAGCACAAGAATAACTACACGTTCTTCTACTCTTGATTTTCTTTTGTAAACAAGCTTTTAAAATATTTTCCAGAGTTCTGGAGACTAAGAAATGTGGCATAAAAAAACTTTAGAAAAGTGGTTTAGTATGGTCATCTACCTTGTATTTTCTCTTCCTAAGTCACTTCCTATTAGCTTTGTCATGATTTGGCTGTGGATTCAATTCTAATAACAGAATAACAGAGTTGGAAAGGACCTTGGAGGTCTTCTAGTTCAGGAGTCTCCAACCTTGGCAACTTTAAGACTTGTGGACTTCAACTCTCAGAATTCCTCAGCCAGCTTTGCTCAGCTTTGCTGGCCAAGTTGAAGTCCACAAGTCTTAAAGTTGCCAAGGTTGGAGACCCCTGTTCTAGTCCATGCCCCTGCTCAAGTGAGAGACTCTACTAGTCTGTACCATTTCAGACAACTGTTTGTCCAGGCTCTCTTTGAAAGCCTCCGGTATTGGAGTATCCAAATGTCTGAAGGCAAGCAGTTCTATTGATTAATTGTTCTCTCAGGAAATTTCTCCTTAGTTCTAGATTGGTTCTCTTCATGATTAGTTTCCATTCATTGCTTCTTGTTCTACCTTCAGAATCAGATGCTTTGAAGAATAATGTTTTAATCTACATTCATTATGTCTAGTTTGGCCCATATTGGTTTCAATGAAAAAGCATTTGAAAGCAACTTTTTTTCTAATTTGTGTTACTTTTTTAAACACAGTTATGCAAATATTCAAAACTGACTGGAAGTAGAGTGTGGAATTTATTCCAAAATTTAAGGAAAACTCCTATGGGGTAGAATTTTTTTCTCTTTTAATATCATATATGTGCATTAAACAAGTGATTTTTCCTTATATGTTTTTTTTTTGATATTCAAATCCCAAAGCTGGCATTGTTATTAGGACAGAGCTTAAGATTCCAGATTTTAAGTTTCATTAAATTAACCTAGGCCTAGTTCAATCTGCTGCATCCTGATTGTGCTTGATTGGCGATGAAGAGAGATGTAGTTCAGCCTACCTAAATTGGGGAAGTGTGACCCAATTAAATTATTTTTATGCGAGAGCCGTAAGAACATATTCCTGTCTCTACAGAGGCCTTTATAAAACCAGACGTAGTGGTTTGCTTTTTTTGCAGCTTAGCATGTTGTATAAAACATGTTCCAAAACTGGATATTCATATATATATATATATATATTCTTAAGTTTTCGCGGGTACTTACATGTATGGTATTCATCTTTGTTCGGGTATTTTCCCAAGTCATTATAGTTGTGCTTTTAAAGTTGTAGCAACGTTTCGGCAGAATCTTATCGGCCATCATCAGGCTTCTGGTTGTGTTCGTCTGTGACTCAAACTTTTACAGTGTAAAAGTCAGACTTTTACAGGTGTAAATGTCTGACTCACAGACGAACACAATACAGAAGCCTGATGATGGTAGATGAGATTCTGCCGAAACGTTGCTACAACTTTAGAAGCACAACTATGACTTGGGAAAATACCCGAACAAAGATGAATACCATACATACATAAATGGGTAGGGCCTCAGGTTCCACTACTATTTTTTGCAATCTTCTTGCTGATGCAAAAGCTACTATAGTATTTAGTGCTGGAACATACTGTAGCTAGAAACAGAGGCATTTTCCAAAGACTCAGTTCAAGAAAGCAGTTCAATGCCTTTGAAGCCCTTCTTCTCCAAGTCTTCCATCCCCTTGTTTATTGACTTGACCAGTAATAGCAGCAATGAAAGAATATGGACCATAATCCTCTCAAGGTACCCCATCAGAAGCACTTGGCTAGAGTCCCCATAATCTATGGTCAGTTCTACCATAGGTCTAGGTGGTTGAGGGTGACAGAAGCTATAGTCCAACACAAACTGAGGTATTGAAAATGCTTCTTCAAAGCCTCTTATTCTACTAAAGGTTAAAATGAATTGTACTATAGATCTATTAGGCAGATCACCATATTTTAACCCCAGTTATAATGCTGCCCAATCTTTTACTTCTGCCACAAAAGAATCTCTTTGGTATTGATCTATGTTTCTAGAACAGTAACTATAAAAATAAAGATCGTATTTCAGTGAGAATTTGGGACAGGGATGCAATATTCCCATGGATTTTACTCCATAATGGTCAGAAGTTACAGAGCAAACGGCCGCATTTGTCTCTTCAATCCTCCAGGACAAGCCATATAATCTCAAGACAGCTAGCTATCTGACGCTCCTTGCAAGGAAGATGGATTTTGACGGCAAGTCCTACATCCTGCTGACCCACCCACACAAATGGGCATTTTAAACTGTTAGGAACTGCACAAAGAATTTGACATCCTAACAACT